GACTCACAAGTTGAAAGTTACAAAACAACACACGCACAGCGCTGACTGACTCATAACGGCCGGGTGTTCTCCGAGTCCGATCGACTCGGGTGTTACACACAATGTTAAACAGACCCGGGACCTGAAGTAATAGATTGGGACCCGACCCGGACCCGGCTGACCATTTAATTGACCATTTAGTCGGGTCCCGTGTCCTCGGGTCTCGGGTCCTCCGTGTAGACCTCTAAGTTGGAGCAAATAGTGCAGGAAGCACATCCCTCACGACTCACTCCCATCTTCCATTGTGTTATTTAACAGCTTTGTTGACTTGACCGTTTTTCTAAAATGTGGAAAATGAGCTGTAATAAAAATGCTGAGGTATTGTGTAACTTGGCATGGATCTCCTCATTAGCTGCTGTCTGAACAGTATCTCTGGAGAGCTGATCTTGTGTTGTTTTTCCCAGGATTCCTCAGAAGCTGAGGATCTCAGGCAGTCTGTCTGTCATTTTAGTGGTGTTTCTCATCACAGCCGTGCTGGTGAAGGTGGAGATGGAGCCCCTGCCGTTCTTTGCGTTTACCATGATCAAAATAATCTGCATCAACTGTGAGTATCATCATCATCATCATCGTCATCTGCAGTGTGTCTATGCCAGGCCTCTTGACCTCAGTGTCATGGTCTTCTCTGTAGTTTTTCTCTCCTCTGGGTCAGGTCACAAGGTTTGGTTTGTGTTTGGAGTTCATAATGAGTAAAAGATGGCTCGAGTTCACACACATCCTTTGATGCTGATATTAATACACAGCATGTTTGGAGAATCAAGCTGGGGAAGGTCCTACTTGAAAGAGGAGATCGTACAGCAGTGAACTCTCAGAAATGTGTTATCACGACCTTTACGTGTTTCTGTGTGCATTTATCTCTAATCTTAACCATCGTTTTCTACTTCGTTGTCTCTTTCTGCAGCGTTCGGGGCGATTCTGCAAGGGAGTCTGTTTGGTTTGGCTGGGATGCTCCCAGCGTCCTACACCACGCCCATCATGAGCGGACAAGGCCTGGCAGGGACGTTTGCAGCCTTCTCCATGATCTGTGCGCTCGCCTGTATGTGTTCATCTTTTGCCATTCTCTTTATTTTCTTCTTTTCCAAATCGGAGGAACCGGAATGTGGAAAATTCCAAACCAGCTTTGTTATTGTTAGCTACAACTAATAAAGATAGCTTCGTCAATTGAAAAAAGCTGAAATAAAATCAAATGAAATTAAAGCTAAATAGAAATATTAAAAAAGCTACAACGCACAACAATTTTACTGAAACACAAAACAATTAAAATATTAATAAATATTATAATAGGGTATAAATAATACTTAACACTAGACAAAACTGATTCAAAGTAGATGTTTAAAGCTGAAATAAAAATAACAATTAATATAAGATAAAAAACTTAAACTGAAAAAAAGTCGAGGGATCTTGCCTTGGCAGCTAACTTAAATAAAATAAATTGAAGCACTAAAATTAAATTTGGAAGAAAAAAAGCTAAATAGAAATATTCTTTATAAAATTAATATAAAGGACAAACACGCATAACAATTTTACTGAAAGTAATATTAAAATTTAAAATATTAATAAATACTATAGGTTATAAATAATGCTAAAATAACACTGAACCAAAAGATTCAAAGTAGATCCAAATAGGTTTAAAGCTGAAATTAAAAATAATCTATATATTTTTTTTTATCTTGTCTTGAACATGAACCTAAATGAAAATTGGAAATATTACCTTGGGAACTAAATGAAGTAAAATAAGCATAAATTGAAGTACTAAAGCTGAAATAAGCAAAATATAAGGCAAAATATTTTTTTTTAACTAAAACTAATAAAACTTACAAATGCACATCAAATTACTAACATTAAAATGGAAACTGAAAATAAAAAATATTAATACAGTAATAGTATATAAACACTGAAATTGCACTGACTGGACAAATTCAAAGTAAATTCAAACACGTAGTTGATAAGTGATAATGTGTGTTTATGTCACTAAAACATTTCTACACTGACTTCCATGAGTACTTCTAAATTGCTAAATCTGTGTTTTGAAGCCACAGAAATGACTGTTTAGTTGCAGGTGTTCTTGTCTTTTCCAGCGGGCTCAGCGTTACAGGACAGTGCGTTCGGTTACTTCATCACTGCCTGTGTGGTTATTCTCCTGGCCATCGTTTCTTACTTCGCTCTGCCTAAAATGGTATGATGTAAACTCACATCTGCGTTTCATTTCCACTAATCAATGCTGAGAATTATGTTGTGATGTTTACATGTTAAAAACTAAAAGTATTTGTTCTGCAGGAGTTTTTCCAGTATTATTCTGAGAGCAATGGCTCCCGATCCAGCTCTGATGAGGAAAACAAGATGGATTTGCTGAAGCCAGGTAATGTCCAGCGTTTATCAAAAATGCTTCTCTAAACATCTGATGTCATCTAATGCTGCTCGTGAATAAATATATAAGAGCACTGGAATAAAAAACACAGTTAGCAATGCATCCAACCTTGTAGACAGGTTAGGTTTCACACTGTGAATGGCTGCTTTTCATTTTATTTCATATCACACAAGCTAACAGAGAAAACATGCAGAAGTTCTAATATTGCAAAGTTTGTGAATACAGTATAAATCAGGTCATAGAGATGGTGCCTTCTGAAGGTTACCAATCCTCAAGAAACTGAATTGATATTCAGACAACATACAGACATATCTCGTCAAGATTTTGAGATAATTTATTTGTGCTTCAGATGATTTTATTTGACCTCCTAAATATTTTAACGTAGGAACACTAGTGCATCTAAAAACTGCAGAGTCCTGTCTAAATGAGTTAAAAACATTTTTTTTTAAATTTCAATTTATATCTTTTTTTTTATTTTTATTGTACTTTAGAATTTTGTAATTTTACAATTTTGACCATACCGCTAAATATTTTGACTTTGGGACACTAGTGCTCTTAAAAAAACTGATTTATTTTTTAAATGCATTCACAGAGTTTTTTATCTTATTTTACATTTGATAATTATTTTAATTTTCAATTGTGTAATTATAAAAACACTTTTTTGAAATTTCAATTTAGATCTTTTTTTTATTTTTATTGTACTTTAGAATTTTGTAATTTTACAATTTTGACCGTACCGCTAAATATTTTGATTTTGGGACACTAGTGCTCTTAAAAAAACTGATTTATTTTTTAAATGCATTCACAGAGTTTTTTATCTTATTTTACATTTGATCTTATTTGATCTTATTTTACATTAATATTGACTGTACCTTAAATATTTAGACTTTATATTTAGAGAGTTTTGTCTTAAAAGCTTTAACAGCGATTTATGTGTTAAAATATTTTATTTTCTTGTATTTTGTTTTATTCATGCTGCTTAAAGACTTTTTTTGCTGCTAAATGACAAGTATGGTGTTGTGTCTGACTCGTATCATCTGTGTTTCCCTGTAAAGAGAAACTTGTTTTTGTGTTCTTGGCTTGTAGAAGGTCATGCAGAGAAGAGGCCGGTCCTGAGCCTGACTGATGAAGAGAGCAGACCCGCCGTGTCAGTGTTTGGCATCTTCAAACAGGTATCAACTCCAACCAGCTGCCCACATAACCAACAAAAATAGTGATGCATAATAAAGCCTTTCAAGAGCAGGACGTCTGTCTCTAATAACACTTGTACTGTCTGCTCTCTGTCTTAGATCTGGGTGATGGCTCTTTCCGTGTGCTTTGTTTTCACCATCACCATTGGCGTCTTCCCAGCTGTCACTGTTGATGTCAAGACCACTGTTGTTGAAGAGGGGAACGGTTGGAGTGAGTGTGTTTGCACGTCACTATATCGATGTTCCTATTCGTATTCTCTGCCACTGAGAGCAGTCGTGTCACAACTGCTCCGTCTCTTTCACAGATACTTATTTCATCCCGGTGTCCTGCTTCCTCCTGTTCAACTTAATGGACTGGGCCGGCAGGAGCCTGACTGCTGTTTGTATGTGGGTACGTATGTGTGTGTGATAATCTGGCTCAGACGCAGACTCTTCAAACACGTGCTGCAAATGCTTTATTAGCGCTTGAATCAGACGAAGCATTTGCTTTTTGTATTTGACCGTCCCCTCCTGGGTTTTCGTGGAATTCCTGTTAAAGTGTGATCTTGCTGAACAGAATCGAGCTACAAAGAGCAGAGCAGGGAAAACCCCGTTGGAAAGTTTCTCTGGAAAATCCTACATCATTTGAAAGAGCAGTTCAGCCAAAAATGAAAACGCTGTTGTTCTGAACTCATGTGACTTCATTTATTATGTGGAACAAGTTGCTGTTTCCATACAGTGACCACAGGCGGTCAAGCTCAAAAAAGGACAAAAAGCACCATTAAAAGTGGTCCAGAAGTGGTCTTCTGAAGTCACATGATGGCTTTGTGTGCGGAACAGACTGAAATGTTTTTCACCAAAAATCTTGCCCTTTGTTGCAGCCCTTCAGTTTCATTCATGCAATTTCAGTCTGTTTCTTGTACCTAACTATTTTCATGACTATTCGTATCATACTTTTATGGTTGGTTGAATAACTGATTGATAGGTGTTGAAATGGTTTCAATCTTTTTTAACAAACAGAAGTTTTAGTGTTTCCATTGGTCAACATAGTTCGTCCTCACACCCACTTGCTTGTGGGGTGCCACAGGGCTCAATTCTTGCCCCAGTTTTATTTTCTATATTTATGCTACCAATGGGTGCTATCTTTGAGCAGTGGTGGACAGTAACGAAGTAGTTTTACTTCGTTTACTTGTATTCACTACATTCCAAAGCATAAGATCATACTTTTTACTTCACTACATTTCTTAAAACTAATCGTTACTCCCTATAATGTATCACGTGCTCCGAGACGCAGAAGCGGTGTCTGATTCATGAACAAACTGATTCTTTTCAATGAACCCATTAAATCGGTTCGCAAATCGGTCCAAACGATACATTCACGAATTGGAATGATCCGATTGCAGCTGTTCTCGAGTCGACAACTCGCTGATTCAAATTAACCGTTTAGTGCGAGTCACCAGTGAACTGAATTCACAAGTAAGAACTGGGAGATCTTGTGAGCGCGCATGTCTGATGCTGTTAAAAGTAAGTTACTAATGTCGAATTTTAGTATTAATTATTGTAACTGAAAATCATATTTAGGTCAAAGCTGTCAGTTGTTTGCGAACTAAATCTGCTGTAAAGGGTGATCTGTTTAAGCCCACTGAAATGCTTGAATGCAGACACATTAACATCAGAGTCTCTATGTTTTAGGTCAAAAAACATTAAAATAACACAGATAAAATAAAATAACTCATGCACGTTCATCTTCCCCGCTGTCGGTTCGCAAATCGCACCAAACGATACATTCACGAATTGGAATGATCCGATTGCAGTTGTTCTCAAGTCAACAACTCACTGATTCAAATGATCCGTTTAGTGCGAGTCTCCAGTGAACTGAATTCACAAGTAAGAACCGGGAGATGTCCACTGAAATGCTTGAATGCAGACACATTAACATCAGAGTCTCTATGTTTTAGGTAAAAAAAACATTAAATAACACCGATTAAATAAAAGAACTCCTGCACGTTCATCTTCCCCACTGCTGTAACGTTAGCAGTTTTTCTAAAATGCTATGCATTTAGCCCTGTGTGACGTCTGTTTTTATATTGTTTGTCAGCACACATAGCCTAAGTTACTATGTATCTGGATCAAC